GAATATTTATGAATTTTGATAATGAATATTCTCTTTATTAATTTTCATATTCCTATTCTTTAAAATGAATTGTATTAATTTTTATAGTTTGTAATTTTAAAACTATTTAATAATTTTTATTGTTTTTATTGTCGTAGAATATCAAATACATTAATATCTTCTTCAAATCTGTATTGTTGAAATGAATTATGAAAATAAAAATGAGAAAATGAAATAAATTACATAGTGATGATAATATATTTTAATAATGATTATCAATTATCATTTATTCACATGAATAGTATCTCGATTATACTATTTATCATTTTATTTTCTATAAGAAATGAAATGTAAACAACAAACAAATTAAAAGAATAAACGAATAAATTAACAAAATAACGCATTTCAATTTATAAAAACAATGTAAATAACAAATAATAATAATAATAAACTACAAATATACAAAATAATGGAAATAAATCAATATTATAATGAAATATAAATGTAGTAAAATAGCAAATTATAATTAATAATCATATTAATGAATATATTTTAAAATAATAATGATTGAAATTATAAATTGAAATTATTTTTCATTTTATATCACTATTATTCATGGTTTTAATTTATTTTATTATATTTAATATTTATTCAATTTTGTTGAATGACTTACAAAAATGAATTGAATTTTAATTAAATATTTCATTTCATTCTATTTATTATTGAAGTTCAAAATACAATAATATAACAAATAATGAAATAAAGAATGATATAATTGAGTCATTATAAAATAAAATGAAGATAAAAGATAATAATAGAAATGAGTTAACCAAATAATATTATATTGTATTATTCATCTCTCACAATAAACTTATTTTTCATTTAACCATAAAAATGTCTATTCATCAATTATTTACTTATTATTTACTTTTTTTCAATTTTAAAAATATGATTTTATATTCCTCAACATTCCACATTTTTGTTGAGTTAAATTCGGTTCAGATGTCATCAATTTAATTACTCTTCATTTAAGTTGCTATCTTTTTTTATTTTGAATTTAATAAATATTAAAATTTCATAATTTTATTCTCTTATTTAATGGTGAATATACCAATACTACTATAATATTACAACTTATTTTTTGCACAACAACATTCATATCCTTTTTTTCTTTGATTATACAAATATGTTCAATTCAAGTCATTCATTATCAAATCGCTTGCATACTGATAGATAAATGATATTACCACATTTATAAATACACATTCTTATGTTATAACAAATAATATCCAATCATAATAATTATTAGTCACTATCATCCATTTAGTATTGAGTAATAATTTTTCTAACCAATAGCAAGACCATAAACCAGACTGCTGATTCAAAAAATTAAATTCATTTTAACGCTTGTATAGTGTTTCTGATGTATTGTCTTCCATTCATTCTTTACACACAAGAGATAGATAATCAATAAAACAATTTAAAATAATATTTTCAATAAACCAAAAAAAATCATTCAAAAATAATAATTCCTAATAAAAAGAGAAATAAAAAAATAATAATTGGATTTAAAAATGATTTAGTTTTTAGTTCCATTAACTAAATTGTTATAAATTTTATCAGTCAAGCGATTAACTAAAGCTTGGTCTTGAACACATTTAGCACCTGATTTAACGGCACATACATTAATAGTATGGACTTTTTGATTTAAATGTTTCATAATTAAATGACATTTTTTAATAGTCTTTTTTTGAGATTTTTGAATAACTTTTTGAGATTTCATTACTTTTTTAACAATTTTATTTAATAATTTCTTTGGCATTTTTTCTTTTTTAAGGACTTTTTTAACGACTTTTTTAGTCAATTTTTTAGCTTGTTTTTTAGAAACAACTTTAGAAATAGTTTTTTTTAATATTTTTTGAGCTTTTTTAATAGCTTTAATATTAGTACCAGCTTTTAAAATTGCTTTTTTAGCAATTTTTTTAGCTTTAGAGATAACTTTTTGAGCTTTTTTAGTGAGAATAATTTGAGTTTTTTTACCTGCAAGTTTTAATTGTGTTTGACATTTTTTATTTGATAAAGAAATTAATGAATTTTGATTTTCAAGTTTAGCAATTCTTTGTTTATAATCAGCAAATAATTGAGCATCCATAAATTTATCTTTTTCACTTTGAATTCTTTCTTTTAATACAGCGAGTTCTTCTTTCATATCAATATATTCTTTTCTCATACGATGTAATCTTTTTTTATTTTCTTTTAATACTTCACATGAACAATTTTCAATATTTTTATATGCCATTAATTTAACTTTACTTATTTTTTTTGCTGCTGCTGAAATAATACCAGCAGAATATGTTTTTCCATATTTTCCTGAAAGAATTGTTTTAATTTTTTTAACCATTTTTTTAGCTTGTAAAATTTGTTTTTTAGAAGTTTTTTTATGATTATTTTTACGTGCTAAAATTTTAGAATATTTCTTTAATAATATTTTTGCAGCTTTTTTGACTTGTTTTTTAGATATTTTTTTAGATTGATATTGTTTTCTCTTGAAAAATTTCATAATATTCCTTTTACTCATTCTCTTCTTTAACATTCTTCTTTTGAGTTGTGCTTTTCTATTCTTGTGTGTCACTCTTCTATGATGATGTCTTCTCATTGGTCTGGCTCTTCTCCTTGAATGTCTTCTGTGATGATGTCTTCTCTTTGGATGTCTTCTATGATGGCGCTTTCTCCATAATCTATATCTTCTCTTTGGATGTCTTCTGAAGTATCTTCTACGATGATGTCTTCTCCATGGTCTAAATCTTCTATAACGTCTTCTTCTTCTATCTTCGTCATCATCATCTGTTAATTCATACTCATCATTATCATCTTCTTCTTCATCTTCTTCATCTAAATCAATTTCATCGTCTTCATTATCTTCCTCTTCATTTAGTTCATCAACATCATCATTTAATTCATACTCTTCAAAGTCATTGGTTTCACTGACTTCAAAAGCATCTTCTTCAACAGCATTTACAGCAAATAATAAGAGTGCAATTAAAAACAATTTCATATTATGATTTTTTTACTTTTGAGTTCTTCTTTTTCTTGTTTTTTTTTTAGAAATAGTAATAAAAATAATAATATATTAAACAATTTACTATTCTTAGTATTTTTTTAACTAAAAATAATTTATTTCAGTTCTAACTGTAATAAACAAATATTTTCTATAAATTACAAGAAAAATGAATAAAAAAAAATAATAAAATAAAACGAAGAAAAAGAAAACTAACAAAAAGATAATTTTTTTTTTAAGGGTTTACTTTAAAATGAGGAGTTAATTAATGTCAACAGGTAATCGACCTAAACCTAATATTCTTGTAACTGGAACACCAGGAACAGGAAAGAGTTTAGTATGTTCTATGATAGCTGAAAGAACTGATATGAATTATGTTAATGTAGGTGATGTAGTGAAGCAATATGGATTTTATGAAGGAAGAGATGAAGAAATGGATACACTTATTTTAGATGAAGATAAAGTTTGTTAAAAAAGAAAAAAAAAGAATGAAAGAATAAAATGAAACGAATTTTATTATTTTTAAAAAGAAATACTAAATGAAAATAGTTATTAGATTATTTAGAAGAAATTCAAAAAAATAATAATTTTTTATTAGAATATCATTCATCCGAATTATTTCCAGAGAGATGGTTTGATTTAATAGTTGTATTAAGAACGGATAATAGTGTTTTATATGACAGATTAGTAAATAAGTTTGTTAATAAAATAATTAAAATAAAATAATAAAAATAAAATAATTAACATAAATAGAGGATATAAACCAAATAAAATTGAAAATAATATTGATTGTGAAATATTTCAAATTTGTTATGATGAAGCAATGGAAAGTTATCAACATAAATTAGTTTGGATGTTACAAAATGATACTCCTGAACAACTTGAATTTAATGTAAATTGTATTTGCAAATATATTGAGTTATGGCCAAAAGCATGGGGAATATCAGTAGAAGAAATGCTTCAAATACATTAAAAAAATAAAACAAAAATAAAAGAAAAATAACAATAAATGAAAATTGATTTTTTTATTTGAAATAAAATCTTTCATTTTTAAATTTTATTTTTACATAAAATCATTAATAATTATCAGAATTAAAAGGAGGTAATATTGTTCCATTTGATTTAAATTGAGAAATTTGAGAAGGAGGAACTTTTTGTTTATTATTTCTAAGTCTAGAATTTTCAAGATTTCTCCATTTATCTTTTAAATCAACACAACTTCTATCATCGAATTTAAAATTATTTAAAATTAATTTCCAATGACCAATACCAAATTGTTGAACACCTTCTATTAAATTTTGAGTTTCTTCTTCAGTGAATCTTCTTTTCTTTTTTTTAAGTTTATTATTTTCAGTTCCATCATCTGTTTTAATAGAAGAATTTTCATGAAATTTTAAAGAAGGTTTTTTTTTAGATTTTTCTTGTTTGTCACATTTAATTTTTTGTTGAAGAAATAAATGATTTTGTTGAATATGAGGTTCTGTGAGTTGGTGAATATATTGACTTTGATAATTTTCAATTAAATCCGATTGTTGTTGAAGTAAAAAATCTTTTACTTTAGGATCTTCACCAAATACAATTGCTTGAAACGTAGTAGAATCCAATCCCATTGCTGTTTGAATTTCTCTAATAGAAATGAAATCAGTAGAAGGCCAAGAGAAAGGTTTAGAAACAATTTTACCATTTAAATAATTATAAAAAACATTTCTTAAAGTAGAAGAAGGACATATTTCTTTAAATTGATATAATAAATGTTTAATATGTTCAATAGTTCTAATTAATGGATATCTTGAAAGAATATATTTAACTTCTTGTATATTTTGAAGATATTCATTTGAATCTGTTATTCCTTCTTTTATTGGTGTTTTTAAAAGTGCTTCAATTGCTGATAAACAATATTTTCTTGATGATGCAACATATGGTTGTTCTGAACTCTCTGGAAGTAAAATATTTATATGACGAATAAGTTCTCCTTGTTGTATTTGAAATTTAGAATATAAATGAAAGATTGAAATCATTCCAACAATTCCTATTAATGATGGAATTGTTTTAAGTATTTCTGCATTTGGATCTGAACAATATATTTGAATTACATTTGAAATAATTTTTGGTAAATATTCTATTTCAATATTAAATGGTTCAATACTTTCAAAAAAATTTATAACTGTTGCTAATGCTCTTTTATTATGTAATTCTTGTGGAATATCTGATTCTACAAATATTTGTTGATTTAAACATTGTTCATATAATTCACAATTAATTCCTGAATCAATTAAATATTCACATATTGATATTAACGTTTTTTTATGATTATCAAATACATTATAATCATCTACTTTATTTTGTTTTAATTGATCAATTATATGATGTGCAACAATACATTTATCTTCAATGAAATTCATTTCTTCTTATTCTTTCTAAGTTCTTTTTTTTAGTTTTTTTTTTCTTTTTTTTTTCGTTTTTTTTTTAATTGTTATTTCTTTTTATAACTTTTGTTTTTTATTTTTTCTTTTATTTATGTTTTTTGAAAGAAATAATAATTTATTAATATTTTTATTAATATTTATTATATTAAATTTATTATATTAAATTTATTATAAATTAATTATAAAACAAAAATTAAATAACAAAAGAATTGATGGAAGAAGGTAAATTTACTACTCTTGGAATAAAGAATTTTGTGACTCATTATCTTCAGCTTCATATAAAGAACTTTGAGTTGCAACATTAATTTCAAGAGTTTGATATGTAGCATTCTTTCGAGACAGTCCACATAAAATTCTTTGTAATAATACTAATAATAACTCTACTAATGCAACAACTACTAATGCAAACATTCCAATACCTCCAATAATTTTATAAACTAATCCTGTTGTTGTTCCATAATCACATCCATTAACAAAGTATGTTGATTCAATTGCTTCTTTATCATCTGGAGATTTTAATTTACAAGTTAATTCTGTTGTATCATTTCCATTTAATTGACAATATCCATAACAACTCTTACACATATGATTAGAAAGGAATCGAGTTGCTAAATGCATAACAGGATCAACAATAAGTCCATTAAGTAAATCATTTCCACTACTTGAAAAGAAGAAATATAATTTATTTTTAACAGTAGTATAAAGTTTTTCATATTTAATTCTATCTTTTGGTGATGCAGTATCATAAGAAATACTATAAAATGTAATATCATTCTCTCTAAGAGTAGTATTATATTTAGTAACTAATGTTTTCATATTTTCTGTATCTCTATTTAATGAAATAATAATGGTTCTTCCTTTCATACTTCCAGTATATGTTTTAACCATATTTGCTGCTTCTTGAATAGGTGCATCATTTGAAGATGATGCATATTTAAGAGTAGCTAATGAATTTTCTATTTGACTAAAATCACTAGTAAAAGCAACTTTAGTTCCATCATAGTTCATAACACCAACTTCAACAGTAGTACTTCCTTCTTTAGTTTTTGCCATAGCAAGATCTCTTAAACTATTTAATAAATCTAATTTAGCACCAGTAAATGCATCTTCAGTACCACCAAAGTTAGGATCAATCACTAATAAAATCTTTGCTTGTCTTCCTGTATTTTTTATTGTTTGACTAGTTGTCTGTTCAATATATTTTTCTATCTCACTTTTACCATGTTCTGATAATGCACCATAACTTCTAAATGTAATACATTTACCTGTCTCAAAACAGATACGACATAGTTTACCTGTTTCACTTGAAACATAAACATAATCAAGATATGGTGAAACTCCTTTATATTCAGTACAATGTTCACTATTTATAAATAATGTTCTTAATTGTACACTAACATCATAAGTTAAATTGTAAAACACTGCATGTGTTCTATTTAATATATTAGATGAATAATTTAATCTATGATATGAATAATATCGTTCACCATTATCTCTAAATACAGCATCTACATGATTTATTTCTTTAAAGACTGTCACCATTTGGCCATTTGGTCCATCATAATATAATTGTCCATCCATTGTAAATGATAAATCTTCAATATTAGAGACATATACATTTCCTTCCATAGTTTTAATGGTTGTGTAATTACTTTGACCAAATACTCCAATACATAATAATAAACCAATAATTCCTCGCATCTAATATCTTTACTTTTAAGATCTTTTGATCTTATTACTTTTTTCTTTTTATTTTTTTTTAATTTCTTTTAATTTCTTTTAAATCATAAAATAACATAAAAAAGTAAATTATTTTTCTTTTTATACACATCAGTTTTGTTATTTTAATAAATAACAGAAATTTGATTTACTTTTTGTTATTATTGAGAAAGATCCAATTGTTTAAATCCATCAGACATTAAACTTGGAGGAATCAAAGCGTTTCCAACAGATGGGAGAGTATTTTTTTCTTGTTCATTATTAGGATGAGCCATAGTTGGTTCATTTGATTTTTGTTTATTATTTCTAAGTCTAGAGAATTCAAGATTTCTCCATTTATCTTTTAAATCAACACAACTTCTATCATCGAATTTAAAATTATTTAAAATTAATTTCCAATGACCAATACCAAATTGTTGAACACCTTCTATTAAATTTTGAGTTTCTTCTTCAGTGAATCTTCTTTTCTTTTTTTTAATAATTTGACCATTTTCATCGACTGGTTGACGTATTGGTTTATTAACTTTTTCATTTTTCTTTTTATTAACTTTATTAGTTAAAGACAAATCATCTATTTTATTATCATATATTCCAACAGGTAATTTAACAGGTTCTGCATAATACTGATAAATTAATTGTTGAACTAAACTTGGATTTAATGATTGATGATACTTTTCTAATTGAGTTTTAATATGTTCAAGTGTTGCAATAACTGGATATCTTGCAATAATTTGATGAATAGAAGTAATTCTCATAAGAAATTCTTCAGGATTAGTTAAATTATCTGGTATTTCAGTTTCTGATAAAATATCAATTGCTTCTTCACTACAAGAACGACTTGTTTTTAAATAAGGAAGTTGTGATAATGCAGGAAGTAATAAATCAAGCCAATCCCACATTGCTTGAGTTTGAACCTTTTTAGAAACGTATTGATAAAATAAAGTAATCATTCCAGTGAGTCCAATTAATGAAGGTAATGGTTTTAGTATTTCACTTTTTGAATCTTCTTGAAAAAGTTGAATAACACATTCTGATATTTTTCCTAAAGATTCTACTTGTGGACAATTTGGGTCAATTCCATTTATTATTTGTAATGCATATTTTAATGTTCTTTTCTTTTTATAATTTTGTGATAATTCATCTGGATTAATATATTCATTTTGAATTAATTGATTAAATAGCCCACACTCTATGTCTTGATCCATTAAATATTCACATATATCTTCTAATGTTTTTTTTCTACACAATGTTTCTAAATCAGTTGACACAATCATAGGACTTTGTTCCATTTTTACTTCAATTGGTATATTTTGTGTTGGATGTAATGGCTCTTGACTAACAATTCGTTGAAGGGTTGCAAACTGAGGGTTATTCATTTTCTTTTGTTTTTTTGAAGATAGAGAAACCCTTTTTTCTTTTTTTTTTTTTTTAAGGTTTTCATTATTTTGTTGATTTTAAGGGTTTTTTTTTTGTTTTATAATTTTTATTTTTAAAATTTTTGATATATATAACTAATTTAATAATCAATTAAATTGAGTTTCTTTAATAAAGCAGATGGGTCAGGGTCTCTTCCTCTAAACTCTTTAAATAATTCACTTGCTGGTTTAGAACCACCCATTTCAAGGATAGAAGTTTTGAATTTAGTTGCAATCAGACTATTAAAAATACCATTTTCTTTAAATAATTCAAAGGCATCAGCCTCAAGAATTTCAGCCCATTTATAAGAATAATAACCACTTGCATAACAATAAGTTAAATTAAATAAATGACTAAAATGACGAATAATAGATAAAGAAGGAGAAGAAAAAGGATAATCATAATTTTCAGTAATTAAAGAAATAAAATGATCTAAAGGAAGATTAGATTGAATATAATGTTGATGTAATTCTAAATCAATTTTACTAAATTTAAGTTGTCTCATCATATAAAATGCTGACATAAACATTCGTGTTTGAATTATTTTATTATAAATTTCTTGAGGAATTTCTTTTATTCCACCAACTTCATTAAATAAATGAAAAACTTCTTTTTCATATATCCAATTTTCCATAATTTGACTTGGTAATTCAACAAAATCCCATTCTACATTCATTCCAGTTAATGAAGCAAATCTTTGTTTAGAAAGAATTGTATGCATAAGATGACCACTTTCATGAAATAATGTTTTTAATTCACTATGACTAAAATATGAAATACCATCATTATTTGGTGGTAGAAAATTACATACAACTACTCCTAAAGGTTTAATAAGTATTCCTTGTTCATTTAAATAGTTTGTTCTTAGAACATCATGAAATCCACCTGCTTTTTTTCCTTTTCTTGAATATAAATCAAAATAAACTCCACCTAATCGTATATTATTTGAATTAATAATATCATAATATTTAACATCTTGATGCCATCCTTTTATTGTTTTATTATAACAAAAAGTAATTCCATATAATCTTTTATATACTTCAAATAATACTTTAAATACAATTGGTTCTGGAAAATATTGTCTTATTTCTTCTTCATTATAATTTAATTGTTTTTCTTTTATTTGTTCAATATAAAAATTAATATCCCATGGATTTAATTCATTATTTCCTGTTTGTTCTTTTTTATATTTTATTATTTCTTCTACTTCTTTTTTGAAGAATGGTAATATTTTCTGATGTAAATCTTCAATAAAATTCATTGCATTTGTACTACTTTTAACCATTCTTCTTTTAGTAATATATTCTGAATAATTTGAATATCCAAGTAATTTAGCAATTTCTTGTCGTTTTTCTAATACTTTATTAATAATATTAGTATTATCATATTCACCTTTACTACAAAGACTATTATATTGTATAAATATTTCTTTTCTAATTTCTTCATTTTTACAATATTTAAGTAAAGGTAAATAAGAAGATGCTTGAAGAGTAATTAAATAACCTTTTAACTTTCTTTTTTGAGCTTCATTAAAATAATGTTCTAAAATATTAGATGGAATACCATCTAATTTGTTTTTATCTTCAATTAATAATGAGTATTTATCTGTATCATTTATTACATTACTTAAATATTTTTTACTTAATTTAAATATTTCTTCTTTTAATTGAATAAATTTATTTTTTTGACTATCATTAAGTAAAATCCCTCCATCAATAAAGTCATTATAAATTTTTTCTATTAATTGTTTCTGATCAAATTCTAATACTTCTTTTTGTTTATAATTATTTTCTATTAATTTAAATAACTCATTATCAGTATAAATACTCGACTTAAATAAAACTTCTTTTGAGAAAATTTCTTCATTTAGAAGTGAATATTCTTTAATATCACTTCTACATAAAATTAATATGTTAATTTTATACATTATATCTTTTAATGGAATTATTGAATTATCAAATGCACGTACTGTATTTTCAAATGTACTTTGATTAATTGGAATTTCTTTTATTTTTTGAATATTTTCTTTACATATCTTAATACCTTCTTCAATGTCATTGACAATACACTCTGGTTTTAGCTCTTCGAAATTAATTATTTCTTCATTCTTTAAAAATGGGTGTTGCATCTTTTCTTTTTCTTTATGAAAATAAAGTTCTTTTTCTGTAAAAATAAGTGAATTTAATATTGATAAAATTTTCATCTATTCATCATTATTTAATTAATATTAATCATATCATACATCATAAAAAAGAGTAATTTCTTTGTTTTATGTATTATTTAGATTTTCTTCTGGTTTTGTGAATAAATCATTTTATTTTATTGTCTTTTCTTTTGTTTTATTTCTTCTTTTTATCATTTTCTTTGATTTTTACTTCAATTTTTAATGAATTTCTTCTTTCTTTATTTTCTTTATTTTATGTGAATGAATATTTCATTATCATTATATTATACATATTCTCTTTTAACATAACATAATTCTTATATCTTTTTCTTTTCTTATTATTCTTTCATATTATATTACTTCATTCTTAAAATTATTATTTATTATGTTTCTTATTTAAATACATCATTATAATCAGATATTATTTGATAATTTGAATATTGAATTTGTATTAATGTCTGTTTGATGCTTCATGCATACCAACTTCAAATCTAAGCTCTTTTTATAAAGTTATAAAATAAAAAAGAAAATTAAAAACCCTCTTGTTTATTTCTTCTTTTCAGCTTTTTTTGCTTTCTTTAATTGAGCCTCAATTTCTTTTTCTTTTTTCTTAGCTGCTTTAGCTTCTTCTTTCTGTTGTTTCTTTTGTTCTTTCTTTCGTTTTTCTTCAAGTCTTTTTGCCTCTCGTTCTTCTTCTTCTATAGCATATCTAACATCTCCTGGAAGTTTATTATAACATGAAACACAAATTGGATTATTTTCGTATATTTTAGTTTTTTTTGGATCCATCAATTTGTTACATTGTGAACAAACAAAACATTCTTTATGGAATGTTTTATCTCCTACAATAACACCTTCTCCACTATGAACAACTTTACCACATTTTTCACATACTTGTCCAAATAATTTATAATAATGGAAATTACAATAAGGTTTACCATCATGTTCAAGGAAAGAAACACCTGTTAATGGTAAGTCACATTCAGTACATGTCAAACATTCTGGATGATACATAAATCCACATGCTTGTACAGAACGTCCAGAAATTGGCTTTTTACATTTCTCACAAATAGAAGCAGATACTTTCTTATAACAAGCAAGACAATATCTCTTTCCAAGATATTCAATAGAACTTCCTCCTGTAAATTCAGATTGACAAATTGCACATTTGAAATGTTCAGGATGACATTTCATACCATTAACAATAATATAATCTCCAATAATTGGCTCTCCACATTTAAAGCAAAGATCTTTTTGTTTCTCTTGTTCAACCTTTTTACGAGCACATTCTTGACAATAAGGTTCACCTCCAATATCTTTATATGGCTTTCCTTTTAATGCTGCTTTACAGACAAAACATCCAAAATGATTTGGGTGGTATTTCCTATTATTAAATTCAATTGCTGTGTCTTCTATTGGTTGTTTACAATAATAACATCGTGGTCCACAAAGGTTTTTATAGCAATCACTACAAAAAACTTCTCCATCATCTTCACAATAATCTTCTTCTTCAAGTAAATTACACCCACACTCTGCACAAGTAAAACAGCCTGGATGGAATGCACCTTCATCTACTTCAACAATTTCACCAACAATATTTTTTCCACATCGTACACATGGATTTCCTTCAATAATAATTACAGTTCCATCAGGTTGAGTAACTTCAAGAGTTTCTCCTTTCTTAAGATTATTTATTTGCTCTTCAGTCATTCTTTGATTTATTTCAAGTTCATTTGACGTTAAAATTTTTGTCTTCTTTTATCCTATCTTCCTTTTTGTTTTTTATTTCTTTTCTTTTCTTTTTAGTTAAGTGTTTATTTTCAGGTTAATTTAATCAGAAGATTGAATTATTTTACTTATCAATTAGAGAAAATATTTAAATGAATCACTATTTTTGTAACTAATAATTTTTGTACAAATTTATTTATGATATATATCCCTTTTTCTTTAAACTGATTAAATAAAAAATAAAATTATGTGAAACTTAAAAAAAAAGAAAAGATGAAAATATCGGTTCGTTTGGGAGAAGCTCAATTTGAGAAATCCACAAAACTCACACTAAACTTATCAGAAGTACAAATTTGTCAAGGGAGATTTATTATCGTTCAATGTGGAGATCAAAAATTTCAGAGCTCAACAGAAAAAACAAGTACTCCTCAATTTTCTGATTGTTTTTCAATTAATATTGTTCCTTCTCAACGTCCAATGATTTTATTTGAATATTATGAAACATTTGTAGTAAAGAGTAGTGTTTATAAGGCATTTGTTATAATTGAGACAAATCATTTAAGTTATAATAAAGATGTTAGTCAATGGATTGAATTTAGTAATGGGGGTCGTCTCTTTGTTACATTAAGATTATGTAATTAAAAAAAGTTGTTTTTGTTATGGTTTTTGTTATTTAATTTGTTGTTAAAAAGAGAGAAAAATATAAAAAAGAAAAAAATAAGGATCTTAGAAATGAATAATTAGATAGAAGAAATGGTTTGTTGGTGATGAATTGATTAATTTAAGGAAAGGAAAATTAATTGATTTTAGGCAAATATTCAGAGATTCACAACTAGTGAAAATATAGTATGTTAATAATATTTTTTTTAGTATTTAATAAGAAAAAAAAATAACAAAATAGGAAGATATGGAATTTGATTTTTATGGAACAAAAGTTGCTTGTGTATTGGATGATAAGTCAATTGTAATCTTTGACACAACACAACCAGAACCAAAAATTATCTCAACGCTTGTGGGGTTTGTATTATTTATTTTATACATAAATAAAAATGATTCATTTATAGACATACTGCTGCTATTTGGCAAGTTAAATGGAGTCATCCAAGATTTGGACCAGTTTTAGCTTCATGCAGTTATGACAAACAAGTATTAATTTGGAGAGAAACTTCTAATAATAATTATGCTATTGTTTATTCTCATAAATTCCATACTAAGTCAGTCAATTCTATTTGTTTCTTCCCTGAGAGTGAGGGATTAAAATTAGCATGTGGATCAAGTGATGGACAAATTAGTATTATTGAGTATGTTGAATCAACTAAGTCATGGAAAACAACTTCTTTTAATGCTCATCCTGCCGGAGTAAATACATTAACTGTAATACAAAATCATATGAAAGTTAATATTGTTAGTGGTGGCTGTGATAGTATTGTTAAATTCCATGAATATATTGATGGTGAATGGAAATGTGTTAACCAACTTAAAGACCATAAAGATTGGATTAGAGATGTTTCAGTTACTTCTTCTAATGGTAAACTTCTTTTAGCTACTTGTGCTCAAGACCATATGGTATTTATTTATGAAGTAAATGGAACTACCATTAAGTTGATTGACCATTTACCAGAATTTAAAGAGTCTTGTTGGAGAGTTGCTTTTAATGGTGATGTATTAGCTGTTTCCTTATCCAATAATGAAGTAGAAATGTGGAAAAATAATGACGGAAAATGGGTGAAAGAAGAATAAAATCCAAATTTTTCTTATTTCAGGGTTATTTTTTTTATTGGGATAATTTAGAATCGACTTTGAAAAAATAAATAAAAGAATTTTTTTTTTGTTTTTCTTTTTGTATTATAAATGTTTTATATTGAAACGTTATTCAGACTTGTGAACCTCTCTTTTTATGTTCTTTGTTGTTGTGAAAATCTTTTTTATTAAAAATAATGTTAAGTCAAATTTTATTTAAATTGAATACTTTTTTTGTCATATTAATTGTACTATTTTTTTTTAATTGAAACAAATTTATTTTCTAATTAAAATTCAGTGGATGAATGAAAAATTATAGTTGTATATTCTTTTCATTATATGGTTTATCAAATTAGGTGTTAGTTATAATATAATTAATATAATTAATTTACTTTTTTCATATGATATAAATTCTAATCAATGAAAATAATTATTGGATTAAAAGAAAAAAATTAATATTTCAATTTATTTCAATTGTACAAGTAATTAGAGTTAATTAAAGAATTTTATATAACTGAATTAAATTATTTATAAAACAAAAAATATTTTTTATAATAGAAATGTGATAGTAAATTACATTTAATTCAGTAAGTTTTATTGTTTAAGAATTAAAAAGTCATATTCTTTCTCCATGACGTTAGTGTTGAAATTAATAATAATATTATTCTTTTAATAATACTACTTAATTCTATTAGAATAATCTTTTTTTAACAAATAAATAGAAGAAGTTTGGTTAATTAAACATAGAAGAAGAAAATTCTTATCATTTAATAAGTGAAGAAAATAAATTATTAAATATTTTAAATAAAAAAGATGAATTTCAATAAAAGTTTAATATAAAATAGAAAAAAAAAGAAAATAAAGTTAGCAACAATCCCAGATATAACCAACTCGAGTAAAGTTTGATGCTTTAAGATCTTCTGGATTAATAAAGAAATTAGCAATACCACAATCTCCCCACATTATATAGTTCGAATGATTTCCACCAAAAATACTTCCAATTTGAAGAAGAGTTTCAGTAAGTTGTTTATTATCATAGAATCGAGGATCTTCTTGTGTAAATGAAGAATATCCACCAATATGAATATCATCTTGAACACTTAAAAATTCATAAAGATATTCATTTAAACTATCTTTTTCTGAATCATCAATTTCATATTTCATTGCATATTTATCAACAATTTTATTAAATTGATAACAGCTAGGTGAAATTCCCATTTCTCCTTTTTCTGGAAGTAATAAACAAGGTGTAAATATAGGACCGTCATTTTTATTTTCAATAATTGGTGCTTCTTGTAATTTAGTTTCATCTTTTTCAATTGACTCAAAATAAACAACTCTAAACTGTTCTTGGTTTGTTATATCTTCATAATTAGCTCCAAAATTATATGAATCATCAACTAAAATATAAAATTGTAAAATTCCTTTTGTTGGATAATTTTCTAATGCTTCAAATTCTTCAAAATTAATTTGCATTAGAAAAGATAATGGTTTGTTAGTGGATAAGTCTTTTGGATATTCAAATCCTTTTGGTAAATAAGGATTTCCTCCTAATTTAGAATTATATCGACTTGCTGGTTTATCACTACATTCAAATCTAACTATTTTCTTTGTTGTTGTTAACATTATTTCTTTTGCAATTTTCTGAAAATTCTCATGAGATGTCATTTGAATTGATTATTGAATATTTATGAGATGAAATTCTTGAGCTTTTGTATTATTTCATTTCTATTTTAGATATTAATCCTCAATTTTATCTTTTTTTTAAATAAATTAATTAAGTAAAAATTAGTTAGTTATTAGATATTCATATCTTCATAATTGTTGTTGTGAGTTTATAATTTAAATCTACCCACTTAATATTTCTTTCATATAATTTATTTTTATTAATATTTTATTCAATTATCAGTGTTTTATTAGTAATAACAGAATAGAAATGAAAAAATACTAACTATTTTATGTTTTTAATAATAATTTCTGATGAATCAAATTTGTGGTTTTAGTAAATATGAAAATGTTATTACTTCTTTCCATATTAGTTAATGTATTGATACTCTTAAATTTCTGTTTCTACATATTAATGATATATTGTACTAATTTATATTTATTTTGTTATTATCCATTCATTTACTTTCTTTATATCATATTTTCTTTATTCTTTTTATTATTCCTTTTGACTCTCTTTTATTATTTTATCGTTTCTTTTTTTTC